TCTTTTGCTTAAGCCACTGACCTGGTAAGGGCAAAGACCCTAACTTAAGTTAGCTAATAAACTTTCCTAGTGCATTTGCATTGTCGTGTGTTGGAATATTCCTCTCTTCCGAGCATCTCCTTTATAGCCTGGGTACAACAGTTTGGTGTTGGTTTTTTTTGGTGATAATTGGTGAAATGTTTTGGTTGTTACAGAACAAGAGTTGGCATCTGATATTTTAATGAACTAAACATGTATTTTACCTAATACTATCTAATATTTATCGGGATTTTAATAAGTCAATTTGGTTACTTTCCTTACCTGAAATTATTCTTCAGGGAGATTTTACTGATTTTTACTTTTCTGGGGCATCAAAGAAAGGAATCTAAAATCTGTTTTATTAGGAGACTAGTCAATGCATTAGTTTTCAGTGCAGACCCCTCATCTCTTCAATATTTCACAGAAGGACAGGGGAAGTCATAATCCAAAGTCACCTCTGGCTCCCAGTTTCGGCATTTGCAGAAAACTGGTCCCCTCTGAGCTACCTAAGTTTTCATAAATGTTACCTCAGACTCAGATAACAACCCAAGACCATTCAGTTTCAGGAATGTGTTCACTGCTAATTTTAGCTCAAATAGAAACTATTATACCAAGACAGTTCATGAGGTTACGAGGGAGTGATAAAACTACCTTGAATGAAGAAGTTTACTTCAGGCTGGAAAGAACTACCCTTTCATTCAACCCCTTCATTTAACAGAGGTATGAAAATTGAGGCCCTGGGAGGATCAGTGACCTGCCAAGGTTGCCTTGGGCAAGGGGTGTGTATGTGTGAAGCTACTGCAGAAGGTGGGGGTGGGGGAGGAGTGGGAGAGGACAGAGAAGGAGGGGCTGGGTGACAGAGCAGAAGCATTTTGGGGAACTGACCCCTGGCAGGCACTATCTAAGGTACTTCCTCACTTTCTCCTCACTCCACCCCCAATCGCCCTTTTTCTTACTTTCCCAGTCTCTCTTTCTCATAAGGTTATGCGCCAGTTACTGAAAGGTGGGGACATTTCCTGATTCATTTGCAACACTGAGAAGTTGTCTTAAGGGACTGCATTCTGAGCAGTCTGCCAGAGAAGTCAACACCTAGGATCGTTGGGCCTCCCTGTTGGGGGAGACGCCCCCCTCCTCACTCACCGCCTGCCTGCGCGGCCTCGGCTGTCCCCTGGCAGCACTCGTGGCCTCCTGGTTTCCACCTGACCATGTCTCTGGCTGAAGCCATCAGCCTCTGGAATGAAGGCGTGCTGGCGGCTGACAAGAAAGACTGGAAGGCTGCTCTGGATGCCTTTGCCGCTGTCCAGGACCCCCACTCCAGGATCTGCTTCAACATCGGCTGCATGTACATGATCCTGGAAAATATGCCAGAGGCTGAGAAGGTGGGTGCAGCGGCCTCTCCCGCATGGGTCTCCACGGGACCTCTGTTTAATTAAGGTTCTCAACCCTGGCTGAACTTTAGAAACCTCTGGAGGTTTACAAGGGAGTTCTGGTGGCACAGTGCCTAAGGCATTTGACTGCTAACCAGAAGCTGGCAGTTCAAACCTACTAGCCCCTCTGCGGAAGGAAGATGGGGCAATCTATTTCCGTAAAGATTTACGATCTGAGAAACCCAGTGGAGGTCGCTATGAGTGGGAATAGCGTTGATGGCAGTGAGTTTGACATCTGGTCTGTAGGGAACAATAGATGCCCAGGCTCCACCTCCAGAGATTCTGGTTTAATCGGTCAGGGAGGGGCCACAGCATTCAGAGCTTTTTAAAAGCTCCCCAGGTAGTTCTATTGGTCTGCATGGGTTGGAGCTCTTGAGCTCTGGTGGTATAATGGGTAAGGTATTTGGCTGCTAACCAGAAGGTCAGCAGTTCAAACCTACCAGCAGCTCCGCAGGAGAAAGGTGATGCATTCTATTTCTGTAAAGGTTTACAACCTTGGAAACCTAGTTGGGGGGGTGTTGCTGTGAGTTGGAATTGACTCCATGGCAGTGAAGGTTATGTTCTTTCCTCCCACCTACTAAATTCAAACCATTCTTTAATCCTTCTTCAACACCATTCTGAAGCCTTCCCTTATATTTCCTTCTATGAAGTCTTGCTAGACATGTGGTCTCCTTCTTACTACTTAGCATCTGATAATAAGGTGCCTCATATCTTTCCAAGACTTTCATGTGTGTCAGCCTTGCCAGTACGTTGAGGGGAGGCTCTTAAGAAAAAGAGGTTTCATCTCAAGTGACCACTAATGTGGAGTACTCTTTCAAGTTCTGAGGCTGGCAGAAGGAAATCATACAGTGATTGATTAATGATGTCTGCCAAGGGCATTGTGTGGGTTGTTGTTAAGTGCTGTTGAGTCTGTGCCAACACACAGCAACCCTGTTACAACAGAATGAAATACTGCCTAGTCCTGTGTCATTCTCACAATCATTGCTATGTTTGAGCCCATTGTTGCAGCCACTGTGTCAGTCCATCTCCTTGAGGGTCTCCCTCTTTTTCGTAACCTTCTACTTTTCCAAGCATGATGTCATTCTCCAGGGACTGGTCCCTTCTGATAACATGTCCAGAGTACAAGAGATGAAGTCTTGACATTGTTACTTTTAAGGAGAATTTTGGCTGTACTTCTTCCAAAACAGATTTGTTCATTCACTATTCTTTGCCAACACCATAATTCAAAGGTGTCAATTCTTCAGTCTTCCTTATTCATTGCCCATCCTTTGCATGGATATGAGGTGATTGAAAAAAAGCATGGCTTGGGTCAAGCACACCTTAGTCCTCAAAGTAACAATTTGCTTTTTTGAAACTTTAAAGAGGTCTTTTGCATCAGATTTGCCCAACGCAATATGTTGTTTGATTTCTTGATTGCCGTTTCCGTGGTCATTGATTGTGGGTATAAGTAAAATGAAATCCTCGACAACCTCAGTCTTTTTTCTGTTTATTGTGATGTTGCTTATTGGTCCAGTTGTGAGGACTTTTGTTTTCTTTATGTTGAGGTATCATCCATACTGAAAGCTGTAGTCTTTCTATTCAAAGTATTTTTAATCCCTCAAGTTCTTTAATATAAGGTTGAGCATTCTCAATAATTACTATTTGAATTGATCATGGTAAGGTGGCAAGGGTATGAGTTTAGAAGCAGAGATCTAGAATAAAATCCTACTTCTGCCCCTCCCTGGACCTTTGATCTCAGGCATTATGAGCATTAAGGAGGCCAGACAGCCCATTGCCATCCTATCCAGTCTGACTCATGGCAACCCTATGTGTGTCAGAGTGGGACTGCTCCATAGCATTTTCAGTGGCTGATTTTTGGAAGTAGATCACCAGCCCTTTCTTCTAAGGCACCTCTGGGTGGACTCAAACGTCTAACTTTTCAGTTAGCAGCCAAGCATGTTAACTGTTTGTAACACAAGCCACCAACTATGTAGCTTCATAGGAGCTCTGGTAGCATAGTGCCTATGGCATTTGACTGCTAACCAGAAGGCTGGTAGTTCAAACCCACCAGCCACTCCTCCGAAGGAAGGTTGGGCAATCTACTTCTGTAATGATACTGCCTCGGAAACCCAAGAAGGGGTCTCTATGAGTCAGGTCCACCTCGACGGCACATAACAACAACACATAGCTTCATACCACTGTATAATAGTTAGCTATTGTTTTTACTTTTCCAACACTAATCTGTCAGTTTGTCATACTGTGGTGGTATGCCATGTTGCTGTGACGCTGGAGACTTTGCCACCGGTATTTCAAATACCAGCAGGTCACCCATGGTGGACAGGTTTCAGTGGAGCTTCCAGACTAAGACAGACTCGGAAGAAGAAAGGGGCCATCCACTTCTCAAAGAATTGACTAGTGAACACCTTATTAAAAGCAGTGAAACAAAAAGGACAAATATTGTATTAGTCCGTTATTGCAAAAGTTAAGGAAAGATTTATCTATTGGAGGAAATTTTCTTTGTTGGTTACCAAGG